AACCTTCCCACGAGCATATCGAGATAGTCCGCTGAAATTGCAAAAAAAATTTTCACAATAAATGATCAGCACGATTGCGAGTTTCACACTCGACGCTCCCCTCGTTTTCCGAAGTGGAGGGTATTTACATTGCCAAACTACCTAACTGACATAAGGGCTCAATTCCAAGCAAGTGTCACTACGATCTTAAATGGACGTCGAATGGACACTACTCGTCGGTGCTAAGTGAGCTGGGGGCAGGGTTGGTCCTATCGTTGGTACTTTTTGCAAATTTTTACGACCCCCCTCCTTCACGAGAAGTTTCATACGACCCCCTCTTCACAACCACTTTTTCCCTCAAAAAACACCGTCGAGCGGGAGGAGGGGGTGGGGTATATAACTACCATGAAACCGCAAAATTTCCCTATATTTCCCTTCATTTCCCCCATTTTCCCTCTTTTTCACCTATATTTCCACTGCTCCCTAATCTAGGGGGGGGGACGTCGGCGTGTTCTCTCAAGCGCGATGGGACAAAGCCTGAGCCGAAGAAAGAGGCTCGAAAGTGTCAGAAGTTGGCTTCTGCGAAATAACAAATCACAATGTTTACAGTCTACATACTCCTGCCTAGGCACAGGCTTTGTCCAATTGGGCTTGAAAGACCGCGCCGCCACGTGATTCCCCTCCAACTCACTTCCTTGAGTTTCATTTGTCCCTCCCTGCCTTCACTGGTGTGCAGAGAGGAAAAATATCGTTATCTGTTTCAATTAGCCCAAGGGCACATAGGAAAAGGAAGTCAGACTATTCTTCAGTTCATTTCCGCGATGCCGCAATTAGTTCTCATTTCGCAATCAGCTTCTAGTGACAAATTCTCTTATGAATGAGGTGGCTGTGTCCGGAACTTCTGTCACTCAAAACGCGAGGCAAGGGCGCTGTGGGCTGATGTCTAGCATCTATTACACCCCATGCATCTGTGCACGCCCACCATTGCGAATGATTGCTTCCTTCTTCTCTCTCGTTTTGAAGCCTATTCTTTTGAAGTCTGTTTTGAAGTCTTGTCACCCAATGCTTTTTTTGTTGATTATCTGTGCGTAGGCTAATCCACGGTCCACAGAAGCAAGACCTTTCACGTCCTTGTCTACGGATTTATTTCTTCCTTCATATCTGGACCAACTATCTTTTACCGCTTCTCAACTGAACCCATCATTCCGCTTCTGCTATCGTTGAAAGTACTGAAAAATCTCACGGACCTATTTTCATCGTTCATTCTTCAATGTGCTAGCCATAACATCGATCAGCTCAAAAGAAATGCTCCAATAGCATGTGCGCTGTTCGAAATGAGCATTGTTTTGTGCGCGGTAATCAATAACCATTTTCTTATGTAACGGGGGCGGCCTGTGGATTAACTAGCCTTACATCATCCGGAAGAGTCAACTATTTGAGGTCAGGAAATTGTTTGAGCTGAGAAAAGAGGCGCAAAACAACTAACTTGTAGGTTACGAGGGAATAAACGTTCACTCAGACTCCAAGAACGGGTCATTTTTTCTTCTGTTCAACCGAGCTGGAGCTACTTGAGTTCGTCTCTTGTCGTACAACAGAATTTCTCTATAATACTGAACGTTTTCGGTGCGTCTGTGTGGTACTGGGAATGGATGACGAAGAGAAAGTCAGGGTTCCCCTGCCCGTACCACGAAAGTCATCATCGTCGAACAAGAAATCTACCATCTCTCCACCATTCAACTTTAGGTTTTTTTTTCTTTTCCGTGTCGTAAGACATATGAATATTGGTTTGTTGTCATTATTCAAATGAGACAGATCACATCAGCTTTACCCTAGGCATGTCTCCCACGTTGGCATGGGAGATTTGCAATCGCGAAGACGTCAGAAGGGCAATACGACCAATGTCAAAATTGGAAGAACTCGACAGTCTTCCTGTGGTAAGTGAACCTAGATGATTGCATAACAGCGGGAAACATGGCTGTGACTAGCGCAGCAGTAGCCGGGTGCAGCAATGAAGTAAGCAGACCAGCCCTTCTGGCGCCGTATGCTAAATGTTGGAGAGCGGATGGGGTTCCCGACGGTCGACGGACTACTTCAACTCGTTTCCTTTAGAATCACCTCAATTCGATGCTTATTTCAGGGCTCAGCCTTAAAGAGAGGACGGACCCGCGAGAGGGCGTAGGTCCGTCCTCTTTCCAAGGCTTATTAGTCCTCTCTCGCAGGTCCGTTCTTCTCTTAAGGCTTAGTCCTGAGGTAAGCATCGAATTGAGGCGTTTTCAAGGACCGGAGTTGAAGTGGTCCGTCGACCGTCGGGGACCCCATCCCCTCCCCAACATTTAGCATACGGCCCCAGCAGAAACGCCAAAAGGGCTGGTTTGCTAACTTCGTGCAGCAATCCCAGGCCACTGATAGGTCCACAAATGTCTGTGTCTCTACTGAGGTCGATTGAAAAAGCTCCTATGGTCAAGAATAAGGGATGCGTCTAGAGATGCAGAGTTTTGGGTACTAATCTCCAGCAGGGGCTTGCTGCACCTGCCCCTGCAGTGCTAGAAACGGGTTGGTGAGCAGATCGGCGGATATAATGTGTCATGGCTGATATACTAACAGGGAGGTCGTTGACGATCTTGGGGGAGTGGGTAAATTCGATCTTTTCTTGGGTTGTTGAGAAGGGGTCAAATCAAAAGAAAAATAAATAAAAACGGAGTTAGTTTCGGGTTTTTCAGTGGAGCGCGCTACTGCCAAGGAGGGAGGAATTTTGATCGTCTGTCCGACTTTATTCTGCAGGTCACGGAAAAATGCAGAAAATGAGTTAGGAAAAAGAGCACTGGCGAACTTTGACCACTTGCCCAACGCAACCTGATATTTCCTGTGTCTCAACGCTCCTCCTCCATTGACAAGGTGTGCTCTAAAAGGAAGTAGAAATCGTTTTTTTTTTCGCGCTAATATGAAACTTTGTATTTTCAGGCACCTTACTTGCAAGTCCGAGTGACGGTTATGAGAAGGTTTCTCCTCGATCATCATCAGCAGCAGTCTGCAGACCTGGTAAGTCCTGAGTACTACCTCCAGAGGCTTACTATTGCGACAGCTGGGGCACGGATTCAATTTGGAGACGTCATAAGTGAAGGGAGGGGGCTGAGAGTGTGCGACCCTGTAGGTAGCTAGTAACCAAGATGAAGCATAGGTGGGCAAAGGATCAGAGCAGTGCTACAGAATTTGAGCGGACGGTGACTGTTTCTGTCGATTTTTGAAGAAATTTTGCACGAACAGGCTGGAATGGGAAAGTATCAGGAGAACCTGCCGGTTTTTTGCCACATTAACCCCTCTCTCGACGGCCCTTTCGGGGGAAGGTATTAAAACGGGGCTGAGCTGGTGGTGTCACCTGGTTAAGGAACCATATACTTGCCACAACGTCAGGGTTCAGTGTGTCAAGACCAGGAGTCACCTGCGTTGCGTAGTTTCACAGGCCACGAACAAAAATAATAGAACAACAGTTTCGCCCGATTAGACACGTTCTCTCGCGCGAACATTCACACTCGCATGCTCGAGCCGTCTGCGTCTCCGCCCATACAGCGTGCGTTGAGGATCTCTCAACGTGCCGTTGCGAACTGCGCAACGCAGGGTTGACTCTGGTCAAGCACTCTCCAGAGAGGGTATGGTCGTGAATATTTCGAAGTTTTCACAACGCCACAGTTGACCCGGCCCGAACGCCTTTTATAAGTGACGTCTCTGAATCGACGCCGCCTTCTGTCATCAAAGCCACTGCTTTGGAAGCTCAGATGAATCATTCAGCTTTAGTCAGGTGTCAGACTTTGCGATCAATCGCTAGCGTGTCGCGCGATCCGCTGGCGGTTGGTCGCAATGTCTGAAACCTGCTTTAGGTTTTTTCTTATGGTTAGCAAAGAATAATGACCGTTGCTGACATAAACGAACAGTTGATGGTCGAAAATTTTTCAAAATGTTCGATTCCAGGTTCTCCCTGCGAGCTCACCAGTACACTATGAAAATATTCAGTATATAAAAGTGAGTTTACATAGGTTGGTGCGCTCGTAAAATTGAGTTAGGCCATATTTGGGGAGATTTTCAGTAGTTCAGACCCTTTCAGACGGCCACTGTTCCAAGCCCGGTCGACAGTAGCAAGGAAGCATCGCAGAGATCATCACAACGAAGCGCTGATTTGGTGAAAGCCGGTGTCATTCAAGTTTTTGATAAAATCTCAATTATAGGAATATAAATTTACTTATATGATTCAATCCGCTAATTTCAGAGTTTCCAACAACCAAAAGAATCGTTCCCTTCTAAGAATCTCAATCTGGATGACGCTATACCAAAGGTGGGCAAATCAACTTGTAACTAGTCCTAACAGATCCTTGGAAAGGTACAGCCAGAATTGGTAGTAGGCGTTTTGATGTGATACGGTCTCAGGACATCTGTCAACCGTGAGCTTGGCGGTTCAGCGTTTTGTAGTGATGTCTGGGAGCTCTCACAAGTGCACACTATCACAGCATCTCCTCTTTCTTTATCTTCTTCAAAAGGCTTAGTCCCAATAAGACACAAAGTGTGTGCTTTTCCAGCTACGCTCTCACCCTTTGGTTGACAGAAGCCTTGTAACCGCGTTCCACAGCGGAGAGCTAGACGTGTTGCGATTGTGGACCTTAGGGCGCGCAGCGGCAACCCCCCCCCCTAGGTTGCTGGTGCTCTTACACTCTAACTGAACTTCACCTCTCCTCACTCCTCCTCTATTCTGCTACCCTAGCGCTTTTGTAAACGAAGGAAAAGGATAAAAGGATAAAGCATTTGCCGTTGATCAATCCCTTTTTGGGATGCGGCACGCATTCTACTTCCATTTGTACATTCGTAGTGGCGTTTGAATGCGATGTGGCCTATACAATGACTTGCGGGGGGCCAGCCGATGTACAAGTCAGTGTTTTTATCCTCCCAGACAAGTCTGGTACCAATTAACCGACCCCGGAGGGATGGAAGGCTTGGTTGGCCCGGGCGACTCACGCCTCGTCAAGTCTGTCATTATGCCGCCAAAGCCGTCTGCAAAGGGAACGAAGAAAGCTGCCAAGAGTCAGAAGGTCAGCCGTAGCAGCGACAAGAAGAAGAAGCATCGCCGAAAGGATAGCTATTCTGTCTACATCTATCGCGTCCTGAAACAAGTGCATCCGGATACTGGCGTTCCGTCCAAGGCTATGTCTATTATGAATTCGTTCGTCAACGACGTATTCGAACGTATTGCTGCTGAAGCTAGCCGTCTGTCCCAGTACAACAAACGATCCACCATTTCATATCGCGAAATTCAAACCGTCGTTCGTCTGTAAACGAAGTATAAAGTAAAAATAGTTGACCCAGTCAGGTGTACATGAAGCGCTGAAAATAATCAGACCTCAAATGGACACTCACACTTATCTGCAATATCTAGCTGTATGTGTCACTTTACTTGAATCTGTGAAAATGATGAAAATAATGGGTGCTAAGTGAGTTGGGGGGGGGACTACGCGGCAGCGCCGTTTTTCAAGCGCGATGGGACTAAGCCTGAGCCTTGGAAGGGGTGGAGAAGCTATGAACATTATGATTTGTGATTGACTTTTGGCAAATTTGAGCCTGCTTATAAACTCAGGCTTAGCGATGCTCCACCGCCGCGTGGTGTAGTCCCCTCCTCACCCCCCACCCCACCCCTCCAACCAAATGATGCTCGTGATGTTGAAGGTCGACGTCTCCTGGTATCAAAATGTCTCTGCGGTGAGGAGTGCAAATGAAATCTCGATTCATACCTATGAGAATATCGAAGTGGAGAAGAAGTGAGTTCCTTTTTTCACCATTCTGTGAGAAATGATAAAAACGCTTAGGTCGATTTGTTCCCGTCAAAAACGTAATGAGTTACCAGGAAGAGTGTGGCGCGTCCTGCTCACTTGTCCGTTTATCAAGTTATACGCATAGTAAATCCAAGCATAATCCTACTATATATAATCGGCTAAGCGGTTGTGTGTGTGTGTCTGTGTGTGTATGTGTTTGTCTGTCTGACCGGAAATTCATAGCTCGGGCACCAGTGGTCGTCAGGAGTTGGTTTCAAGATATGATATAGGGGGTGGGACGGGAACATATTTGGTGGGGTAAAGAAAGTGATCACAACTGATAAGGGCTGATAAAAGGCGCTAGAACGCAAGTGTCGCGAAATTCATAGCTCGGGCACCAGTGGTCGTCAGGAGTTGGTTTCAAGATATGATATAGGGGGTGGGACGGGAACATATTTGGTGGGGGTCACAAAGTGATAACGACTGATATGAGCAGATAAGAGGCGCTGAAACACAATTTTCACAAATTCATAGTGCGCTTCGCAGCAGTCGTCAGGAACTGATTTTGGGACATGATATAGGGGTGGACGGTGACATATTTTGTGGTTTTCCTCTAAAAAACCGTGACGTCGCGCCCCACTGGATGTAGTGGGACTTTTTTTTTTTTTTCGGGGGGTTTGGGGGCAAAAGTGATAACGACAGATGAGGGATAATTACGATATGTACGAACGTAGAGATTACTCGAAACCAGATTGCAGATAATGCATTTCATTTCAATATCATTTCATTAGCGTTATAATTGTAAATTCAAACACCTTTCAACCGCTACACCTTCTAGAGTTCTTGAGGATGAATGGGATGCTCTAATAAATTTGATAGTGAATACTGGGCATTCCGTCTTGAGATTACCAAAAATTATTCGACCGCTAAATTTCCTCGATTCTCGATGCATGGTGGTTGTTTACATACATCACTTTAGCTGTGCACTTCACTGCGCTTATCAAACAGTGAGATACAGCCAAGATGGGCAACGGACAGTAATGCATTTAACGAAGCAGCTATAGTTAAGCGGTGAAACCCAAAGCTTCACCGATTGTCAGTTTTGTCAGAGGCTTCCGTGTCATGCGCGCGGTAGCGGGCGGAGCTAAACTGGTATATATATACAGAATGTTCCAATTTCCAAAGGCTGAAGGTGACATATTGGCACTTTTCTAGAAACAACTGATCACGACATTAATTACGATCAATTGTCATATATTCGTGCATTTGCCCTAGAAATTGGTTGGAAGTTTTACGCCAAGAATGGAGTAGAAGGAGAAGTTGAAGAATCTGGTTGTTTTGGGTATCCGTAATCTCTACTTTTTACTCTGACTCAGGGCACAGGGGGGGGGCGATACTTCATAGAGCAATGCCAGGTGCTATATGGTGGATGAGATCGTGGCCCTGGCTATCTGCCCTCAAAACGTGGCGAGTTAGCATTCAATATTGAGTCTGGCGTACATTCGGAGAGAATCTGAGACGTTTCTGACGATTCCCTCGCAACCCCGAAGCCAGCCTAGAGGGCTATTCCGCGCTGACTTTAGCAATGCTTGTCTTCATACATTGAAGTGATTCCCAAACCAGGCCACCTAGCGAATCCAACAAAACGAGAGCGATATTCTCAGAAAAAAAAGGAAAAAGGAAAAAAGAAAAAAAAAAAAACAGAAAAAAGAATTCAGAGTTGGGGCTTAGGTTGAGCTGGTGCTTCCTGGCTGCGAGGGCCATCAGGCGTGCGCGTGTTGTTGTCGCAGTGGACTCATGACTCATATCCACTGGTGACCGATTAGGGAAGGCTCTGCTTTTGCCGTCCAGAATGAAATTTTCCCCAGATGGTCAGGCGTGCTTTCCGCTCATGGTCGGCTGGACCATAAGGTTCCATCAAGACTTTATTCTGCCAGTCACCGCAGGCCAGCTACGAAAGTTGCATCTTCACAGTTGTTTCGTCTTTGCCGTGCGAATGACGACAGTTCAGCACGCTAAACAGAAGCAGAACTGACAAACACAGGCCCCAATCTTTATCAACTGCCCTCCTTACAATAGGCTTCATCAGAGGATCGTGAAGCATATCATTCATTATTGTTACTGACCTATCTTATTCCTAGTTGATTAAGCCGTAACGAGCTTGCTATTCTAGAACCACGCTCTTGAGGCTTTTGAAGCATATAAAAAGTTAATTATTCGCAATGAAACGGGCTTGACGAAGAATTTGAATTGATAGAAATAAACAGAATTATGCCACAACCCACTATTAGTGAGCTGACCTCTAGTAGTCTGAAATCAATGGCTTATTTTTCCATTTCAGTTCCTTTTCTCTCAAGAATTTCGAATACGTTACATTCTTTCTCTTTCTCATCCATGATTACAGATACTCTTTACTAGCAACATAAAGAATCTTGGCTCATTAATGATGATTGAATTTGACTATTCTCGGCATCAAAAGTCTGATTAGCTTACAGCTCCGTCGATCTCTCTAGAAAATAAGGTCCACTGGAGCTCTCCGACATGCCTTAGGGACAAGCGGGGCCGTTGCTGGCGCCTACACTAGGAACGCGATGAGCAAGAGAACCACAGCCGATTCAGGTAAATCCGGTAGTGGAGGTGAGGCGATGGCAAATGGCGCCGCTGTGGCACACATAGTATTTGGTTCAGATCCCCGCTTGCGTTTCTAACAAGGTCAATCAAATATTTCATGCTGACAGCGAGGGTTGAATGGAACAACGTTCGCCGTGGATACAAAATTAGACCTTTACATCGAATAGCCCATAAGTCATCGTTAAGGCCGCGCTATCGCAAGGTATGGGGGCACTTCAGTGGCACTGCATTAAAAACTACGTGAACATCCCTTTTTAACGGGACTAAGCCTTAGAGAGGGGAGGACGGAATTCGTGGTGTGTGAGCAGGTGTTTCCTTTTCCCCAGAGTTCCTACTCCCTCATAGGCTCAATTTCAGAATATGCCCCCATATCCTACGACAGCGCCTCAAGGCCAAATACCCATTCAACGGCTATACCAATTTGAACTGGAACTAGAAAGCGCGGCGCATTCCATTATGATGGGCAGATCAGCGCTGACGACTTTACCCTCCAACGCTCTGAGCCTTCACTAATGTTTGGTGGGGTTGTAGTACCAGAAGGAAAAATTCTGGTCGTACGCCGAATTCGTTTGCATTCCTATGCATAAATTATTCCTCCCGAGAAATACCGATGAGCGTTCTCGGGCCGAGAAATACGAATTTCGCGTTCAATGGAAAGAAACCACTTTTCGAACGAGTCAAGGCCTCATAACGGTCGCCAATTCTGATAATTGGAAACGGTTCCGGAATGTTCTGGAAGAAATCCATACGTAAAGTGGTGGAACAGGCAGAGGCGGTCGGTCATGATCGTCGCGCTGACTCACATGAGAAAGGGTAGCCGGGGAGCCACACGCTGGAATCGGGATAGACCGTTGGAACGTTGTCGTCGTCATGTCTTCCAATCGCCAGCTGTCGTTACCCGTTTTTCTGTCACCCCCCCCCCTCTTCCACGTCATTTTCCAAGTCTCCTTCGGCACAGGACGCCACCTCTCTCCTCCTGTGGCGCTCCTAATCACCACAGTCTGTTCGTCTATCAGCTTCTCACATTCGCATACCTCTTATCAGTTCAGGTGTTCAGCGATGAATAATTATATCAGGGCGTTTCCTCACGTATTGATAGTTCTATTATTGATTGACTGTCGTTTTCCATCTGAAGGCTGTCTGCCTAATGCATTTTAATTCCTAGCATTTAGCTTCCGAAATGAACGCACGCATAAGCAAGAAGAAGAAACCCGCTCCACCGCCACCGCCCAGGCAATCACCAAGGAATTCAGAGGCTGACAACATCCAAAATTACGAGCAAAATGTTATGTGGTAAGCAAATTTGCACATATTTTTGGCATAAGACTTTTCCAACTAAGAAGTAAAGTCGTTAGCCCTGGGATGCGCCATGTCTTCGTCTTTTCTATGGAATCTCTTAGGCATTGGATAATGATTTTTAACTCCATAACAAGTTTCACAAGCTGGAGTTTTTTATGGCCGTGTTCTACTATTTTCCCACATGAGATCTTGATCTTTCAATGGACCTCGATAAAAGGAGGCTTAACTGCCTTCATCACTGGACAGGATGCGATCCATGGGCCATGCGGGTGATAGAGCCGCCTCTTGCCACCGAACATGCCTTCTCTATATAGAAGTGTTCATCATAATCCAGTCCTCTATCTATAGTGAGTAGGTTTTGTTTTTTTATTCAGTTTTTTTTTACTATTCCATACTGGTATCGGTACCTGGGGGTGAGGTGGCTGTAGTGTAGTGTTGAATGGCGCAGTGGCTTAGGGCTTTAAACTGAATCCTCTGAGAAATCAATTTTCTAGAAGATAACTTCGTATAATGGTATGCTATACGAAGTTATTAAAGGAATCTTGCGCGGAAAAATCATGATTCTATTTCAGCCATAAATCACTGGCTTGAGACTC